GAGGTCAGATGGGTGGGGGGCAGCAGGTGGTCCCGAGGTGGGAACTTACCTTGAAGAGGGGATGACAGGAGGGCAGATGGCGTAGGGTGGCGACGGTGTAGACCTCCGCCAAGAGGTGGGTCCTCAAGAGGTGGGTGATGAGCTGGTGGCTGTAGACGTCGGCGTTGCGCACCCAGGTCTTGGCCAACAGCCAGTCCCACTCGGCGTCGCTCGGTAAGAAGATGGGGCTGGCGGGTCCCGGTGTTTGGCTGAGCTGTGTGGCACAACCACGTGGGTGGGACCATCTCCACCACCACCATAGTGGGGTTGTCCACTGGTTTGGGGGGTGAGAGATCCCTACCTGGATGGCGATGGGGCGCAGGAGCTTGTCAGCACCCTGGTGCAGCAGGCAGAGCGGGGCCGCCACGTACTGCTGGCGCCCGTGGATGGTGCCTGCTGGGATGTCCTCCAGCACCTCATAGTCCACAATGAAGATCCGACCCTCTTGCATCTCCTTGCCCAGGTTGGTGCCACCACCCAAAGAGCTGGCCACCATCTCCGGCGTCACCGGGAATTTGGACGGCAACGTCGTACATCGCTGGATGACGATGGGGTTGTTGCCGTTGAGGAACAGGTAACCGAAGAAGTCGTCTTCTCGCCAGTGCTTGGCCACGTACTCGGGGACTGAGGGGGTGGCTGGACATCAGCACCCAACTGCCCATCCTCCACGTCAAGCCAAGGACTTCTTGGGAAGCCCTGGGCGGTGGGGGAGGACACACAAGGCACCCACCGATCTCCCTGCCCCGCGTCCGGGAGAAGATGCTGCGCATCTCATCCAGGCTGTTCCAGGAGCTGCGTCTCAACAGAAACCCTGACAGAAGCTGGGAGGCCGCACTATGGGACAGAAGTGGACCAGAAGTGGACCTCAACACCCACCATCCCTTCCCTGACACCCACCCTCCACACACACACAGGATGGCACTGGTGATGCTTCTCATTTCCATCACCCAGGTCCTTCCCAACCTTGGGGTATTGCTTACTGGAAGATGGCGACACCGTTGAAGTTGGTGGACCTCACGCAGGAGAACTGGACATTGGAGTCCAGCTCTTGGACAGAGTCCACACGGAGGCAACGGGGCCAGCCCTCGGCGTAGCTCTTCCACCTGCAGTGGGATGTGGGGATGGATGTCAGCGTCACGGCTGGCCAGGCCACCCTGGCCATGGTGAACCTCCATCCCTATGTCCCGGCTCTCACTGGAAAGCCTCCTGCCGTGCCTTCAGCTCCTGCCGCCGATGATCCCTGAGGATCTCCAGCTCATCGTCCACCAACTTCTTCGCTGGAAAGGAGGAGAGCGGGGTCAAGGTCAAACCCCCCCAACCAGCAGAGGAGGATGGGGGTGGGATGGGTCCTACCTGAGCCCTCCCGCACCTCCACCGTGGT